ATTTCGTACGTGGTTCTCGCCGTTTCCGTCTGATGGATCGATCGTTCGCTTCCGGTTTTGCATGACCCACTGATTATGAGTCAACTTCGAGCGTTACTATGAAAAGAAACACTGTGCGACGTGTTCCACGATCACGTTCCCAAGGAATAAACAGCGCGAATACTTTCCCTCTTCCAGTTTATTATTAAAAGTTCCGGCTATGTGTTTAACATCCGCCTTGTTTGCTGACGATTAAATGAAATATTTTTCAATATTTCCTATTGCGATTTGAACGCGTGTGGAATTTTTGAGAAACAACGCCACGTTTTCGGCAATGCGACAAAATTCCAGGTTTAATTATTGATTGAAAATAAAACATTAAATCGAGAGTCTTCTTTAACTTTTAAAAATTTTAAAATCTAACAAATTTCTCAAAGATCGTGTAACAAATCCTCGACAATGTTAACAGCGACGATACGACAAAATTTGAATTTAAATTTAAAATCTTGAATCATCATTTCTCTAGAAACGTGGTTGCTCTATTTTTACGATTCTTTTCCGGAATACTTTTCCCAGATTTTTACGACGAAAGTGACAATCGTGGTTTTCATCGTTACCGATCCTTGGCACTATTTTTTTGAAGGGTTCGTCGAAAATCAACGAGTCCATGTTTCCTTTCAGACATAAAGTCCAAAATTTATAAAATCATCCCTTTAACAATTTTAATAAATTCCTTTAACTAGTTCCGACTAGAATCACAAATCACTGGTTGAAACTTCAAAACTATTTAAATAATTCGAATTAAATTAGCATTACCATCCTGATATTGAAAGAATTATAGAATAGTTCACCCTTCGGCAATTTCACTCAATTTTCCGTTTTTTAATTCTTTTAACTCTAAACGTTGAAAAAGAAAGAAAAATAAAAAACTGTAAATTGTAAAAACCTACTGTGTATTGTTACTGTAAGAAGAAATTTCTAAGCTACCTAAAATAATTTTAACAAAATTAAATTATAGTTAAATTGTAATTAAATTAAATTAAATTAAATTAAAGTTAATTAAATTTAATTAAATTACAGTTAAATTAAATCTACAACCAATTTTTCAATGTTGTACACTAGAATCTATCCTCCTTCATTGTTTTCACAAATTCACTGATTCTGCCGTTGAGAAGAGAGACAGAAGGATTAGAAATGATCCTAATCGAAATCGTTCGACGACAGTTAGACAAACACACCGACAAAGCGGTTGCCAAAGGGGGGGGCGCGCCGTTCCATCGGTTCACCGTGAACTTTGACACGGTAAATCAGGAGCAGGCGTCGGCGAATCGCGCTCGGTCGCGTCCCGACGCCATTAATTTTGCCTCGCGAGCACGATGATGGAGCCTGGAGGTGGGGGGGAGTTCCTATTTGCGACCACGTGAAAAGAAAACGACCTGGAACGCTTCAGAGGGATCGCAAAAGGGAAAAGAAACGAGGGTACCAGTGAACCAGGCATCGGCGTCAAGGAGTCGCGTGTAAATTTATCTTCAAGCGAGTCGTACGCGGGCCTTTCTTCGTACGCCGAACTTTCTGTCGATTCCACCGACCTTCCGCGAGTTTCAACAACTTTCCCCTACAACCCCTCCGAGTTCGTTGCCACGAATTACGTTCTTCGTCGAAATTCTATTGGTTGGACGAAAAGTAAAATTGCGTTTTTCTTTTTTCTTTTTTTTTTTTTTTTTTTTCTTTCTAATCGATACACGTGTGTATCTTAAAATGCAGCCAACTCTTTCATTCTAAGCAGCGAATTTATTCTGCAATATTCGATAGCTGATCGTTTCAGAGAAACGCTCGTTTTAGGAAAAGACAATGCAAAAATTATTCGTTAACAATTGTTTCCTTGGCGTCGATTTCGAGATGGAAAATTACGGAGCGTTTTGTTTTATTACTTCAGGAAAAAAAAAAAAAAAAACGCTGTGCAAAAGAATAATTTAATCATAAAAAAATTATCTAATGTGTATGGTGAAGACGCTTTCAAACTACGATAGTGTCAGAATTGGTTAACAATATCGGTTAACAATATCGAGTGGAGCAGTTACCAGAGAATGTCATTTCGACGTTAGCACGTGGCAAAGCGAGCGGAAGATTAGCGTGAAAATCAGTCGCGAATAAATTGAATCGCGTTGATCGAATTAACGAGGCAATTTGTCACGCGACCGATGCGCGAAACGGCACACGAACGCTCCGGGAGTCCCTTCAGCGCGTGTCCTCGCTAAATTTCGCCAAGCGAGCCGAACAATTGAACCATTAACCGAGGAGACGTTAGTCACTCCCCAGCTAAGTTGGATCTTCACAGCTAAATCAACCATTTTCATCCGTACTTTTTTTTTTTCTTTTTTTTTTGGCCCGGTGCAGCCTCGCCATCTTAAAAGAAACATCGTGATTTCAACTGTCGTTTAAGAAGTCTTCTTCTTTTCGATGTTTTTTAGTGTTGCCGTCGTATTTTCTATTTCAAATTATAATCTCCAATTATATCAAGAATTGTCAATTAAAAAATTCAAACAGTAATCGGAAGTGTTTACTTACAATATTTTTCGTCCCAAAGTTGCAATATTTTCTCGATTTAAAATATAAGATTTAAATAATTTCTAAAAAGAAAGCGACGGACTATTGTATACGGTTTGGTCACTCGTTATGGTCCGTGAACCAGTTGCCAGCGCAAATTAATTAAAATTGAGAAAATTGTCCAGGTACAAACCTCGAATGTCTCCAACTCTCTCCAAACACTGAACTCTCGCGGAAAGAAAATCGAGGGATTGTTCTAAATTAACGACGAAATACGCTGAAAGCGAATTATATCGTTTAAATAACAAAGCCTGTTCCTTTCTAATCTGCCTAACAATTGATAATTGACAAATTCAAATTCTGTCGAACAGAAGCGTACCAAAAGTGAAAAAAAAAATTGACATTCAACTTGGTGAATATCATGGTATAATCAAATTTGCCCGGACAGACAGTCCCAGTGTCGATTCTTTGATGTATCCGATCATCGACGCGAAATTAACGCGGTTACCACTATTTCCGTGGATCGATCCAGCCGACTCGTTGTCTTTTTTTCATTTTCACGGCGCGATACGCATCGGTAGCGCCGGCGGCGATCAATTGCTCAAACATCGCAAATTATTGCACAAGCATGTTACGTGACTAAACATTCGTGGCAGATGGAAGAGGAGCGGAGGAAAAAAAAAAAAAAGGGGCGCAAATTACAGTTGCGCGCTATTAGCGATCGTTTCGTCTCCTTTCCTCTTTGTTCCTCCTCGCTTCCTCTTGGTCGACACTTGGCCGATCAAGATCGTTTCTCTCGGACGCGCGCGAAAACGTTCATCGTGCCACGGACGTACGGGGCCGATAATCGATCGATCGCTTCCAGCGTTTACACACGTACGTGTGCAACGCGTTTTGCTACCAGTTGGTTGGGCTTGATACTAGCTGGAATTCTTTGATCAACTACCTGCAACTAGTGGACGACCAAAGCGTAGAATTTCCATTACATTCAGAGGTTCATTGAAATGAACTTTCGTTTACGTATATTTTGCGAGAAATCATTTAACCTTCTTGCGCTGGAATGACGTGCACGTCGAGAATTTTTTGTCCCAAAATTGCAATACAGTCTCAATCATTTCTGTCCAGCGATATCACGCCAGCGAGTTCAAAAGGAAAGCGACGAATCTATTGTATACGGTTTGGTCACTCGTTATGGTCCGCCAATCAGCTGCCAGCGCAAGTGGTTAAATCTCCAGGTAATACGTCTTGCTTACAAAATTACAAATTGACCACTCGCTGTGACCATTTTGTCAGTTCGTTACGTGTCAAACTGATTTAAATCGAAACATTCCTCTCTCACTACGTTGCTAATGAAATTTAAAAAAAATCTTTAAATGAAATACACAATGATCAAACACGGTTATCACAGAAAACCTATGTATAATATCACACACTCAATCTACATGTATACATACAAAAACACGTTACAAAATGGAATACCAACGAGTCTATAATTCCTAAAGATCTCTTACTAAATATGGGATATCTCTTTCTTTGGAAAACTCGAAGAACGTCTGAACGTTTATCGAGTTTCCATCGTGTCCCGAATAATTCAAACGGTCGAGGCCTGTGCCTTCCGGCCGATCCCTTGGATTCCATTCCTCGCGCGTTTTGGCAGAGCCGGATCATACTTGAATATTCGCTGTCGTTGGCAACGCGTTTGCGTAAGTTTGGCAAAATTCCAGCCGAACCGGCGGGCTCCGGAGGTTACGTTACGCACCTGTTTCGCTGCCAATTTTCTCATCGCGACCCGCGAAAACGGAGAACGGCCGCCAAACGACCATCAAAACAAGGAAGATGAAGAGGAAGAGGAAGATCGTCTCGTACGTGTTACACTGTCGTGTTTTAAATTTGTCGTAAATTTAATACGTGGCTCGTCGAGTTCGCCGAATTTTTTATCGAGCTACCGAAACCAGATGTTAGTCAATTTCTACGATTTTTGATTCGCTCAGTGTTTTCTCTTATTTGTTTTTACGTGGCCATTGGGATGTTTAATCGAAATAACGAAGGAGGTTAACGTCACCCGACAAAATTTTAAAAAAGCTTCGATTGACAATGAACGATTCATCAAAGTCTATTTATTTTTCAGTCATTCTCGAGTCAATTTTATTTTCACGACGATGAATATATCAAGCTCGAAAATTCGTTGCGTTAATTGCCGGCTCAGTTTCGCGATGAATATTTTTCTGAAACGCTGAGAACTTCATTCAAAAGAATTAAACAACACACAATGAAAGACGGAACGAAATCTCGAATTTCAGGAATTTCACTCCATTATTTCGTAATTCCAAAAATTCTAAAATTTTAGCGCATTGTGCATTCGAATTTTTTATTCATTTCAAATTCCATCGCACAATTGAAAGAGTCCTTTTCATTTAGAATAGACAAGTTCACGAATCAGCAGAGAGCGAGTGAAAAGTTGAAGAATAGCGATTTCACACGAAGCTGTATGTTGCAAATTCTTCTCTGTTCTCGTCCTTAATTTCGACATCGTCTTCCTCGTAATAGTGCATTTTCTCTCCCATTTCCTCTTCCTCCTCCTCCTCCTCCTCCTCTTCTTCTTCTTCTTCTTCTTCTTCTAACATTTCGAGACTGATGTCTTCAGCACCCTCGGGGAAGTATTCGTCTATCATCGCTTGGGCCTTTTCATCGTCCTCGGTGATGAAATACGGCTCGATGCTGGCGAACGACAGGAAAGCATCCTCGCTGATCCTCCGGATGATTATCACGAATATCTCGGCGCCCGTTTGAAACCTCGCCTTTGCCAATTTTCTCCGTTTAATTCCTTATGTTTTTTGTTTCACGCGTGAACCACTCGCGCTGGAACGACGTGCCACGCACGTCGAGAATTTTTTCTCCCAAAATTGCAACATTTTCTCAGCTTTAAGTATATTTCGAGTAAAGTAAGTAATATTTTTTACTTTATTAAGTATATTTTAAATAAGTATATATACTTATTTAAGTATCAACCCAGGCAATGCAAATAACAAATTTATTACTTCTCGATAATTTCTATCCAGTGATATCATATGATATCGACGAGTTCGAAAAGAAAGAGACGAATCATTGTGTACGATATTTGGTCACTCGTTGTGGTCCGCAATCAGTTGCCAGCGCAAGTGGTTGAAGAAGAAGAGAGAAGGTCAAGGAGAATGTAATCATTAGCCTCGCGTAGTCAGATCATGGGATTGGAATCATATTTAAATTTGACATTTAGAATTTAATTTCAGTGTCGAAGTTGATTTTTGAAACGAAGGTGGTATCGTTACAGTCGTGGATGACTGTGGCAGTACGGTTTAATATTATTTTTCAGCTGAAAACTTCAAAGTGTAACCTAAAATGTCAATTCACGCAAAAACCACGAATCGAAACAAAAGACACAGAAATCAAACGCTCAATTTTGCTTCGTTCAGGCACGTTGCATGCTGAATTGACCATATACGGCCGACATATTCGTAGAAATAATTTAAGAAAAAAGGAAACTTGCGTCGATGTTATCGTAAAACGAAGGGTTGTAAAACCTTTCTTTCGAAGTCCTCAGGGCTGGATGCCATTCGCCTGGCGATTGGCGGATTGTCGAACTCGAACGCGCCGAAATATTCGACCGCGTCGGGATATATCGCGCACGTGTCGCGAACAACCGGGAATTTTGAATACTGGAACTTGAAGGCGCAGAAAGGGGGCGGTGGTACCGGTTCCTCATAGGGGTGCACTAGCTCCATGTAAGCGGAGAAAAGGGTCGTGTACACGTGCACTTTGCTCCTCGCCTGCAGAATCGTGAAAACGTAACCACATAGTCGAATAACTATAACAACAAAGGAATCTATAGGTAAGCTCAGCTTCTCGAAATTTATCAAAATTTTGGAATCTGAGCTGATTCAGAAAACAAATTGTTAGTTATGGATAACCTAACCACAGACAGTGTAATAATTAATCTATATCTAATCTAGATCACGTGAAACTAAAAGTACACGATCGAATGATTTCCTGTTTTAACGCTAGAACTACCAAACGACGTAAAGTATAAAATTTCCAGAGACGTCAACGTAAAAGAAATAAAAAAATCTTCTATTTATGTATCTTACGAAGAATCGTTCAAATCTCCAAAACCGTTTCCTATCTGTGAGATGTCCAACAAAAATATTCAAATGGTCGTTTTGAACAGTTTGGTGGCTCAGTAGTGTTAAAGTTCGAAAGTCCGAGAATACCTGAGGAGGTACCCAAACGGCAGGGTGGATGCGAGGGAAGTCCTCCTCGTCTTCGGGATCGGGTTCATGAACGTACACGTGCCTGTCCATGTAAGACTCGTTGGGGGAGAAAGGGACGGCATTAGCCTGAAGCAGCGGCGTCGTGCTGGTTAACAAATGTATCAGATAATCCTCGACGTCGTTGATCGCTCGCGTCGGACATCTCTTAGTCCCTTTGGGACACTCGAAGGGATACGGCACAGGCCAGTTCGGATGGGGACGTCTGCCTTTCAATCTCATCGCTATCGTTCTGCCATCCGTTAACCCTGACGTGAAATAATCAAACGATTACCATGTGAAATTAATTAAAACAACGACCGACTCGATCTGATTCGAACCAGTTAAATTCGAATTTTTTCTTTTGCATTTTCAGTATCGTTTTTTTTAATTTTTCGAGTTTTTTGAACCCCTGGTATCGTCGTGTTGTGGATAATTTGTTTCTTTTCTGAAACACTTTGATCTTTTTTCTTCTTTCGTGACGACCGGAGGACAAAACTTGCATCGCAGCGAGTTAAATTGCGTAAAATGTAAGGCACAGTTTGTTACGATCAATTTCGACGGACGGAAAGGTAATAAAAAGGTGAAAGTTTCGAGGAGCGTATCGACTATTTTGGAAAGACACCTGCTACCAGTTCTTTCGTAATCTCGACGTTGCTCTCGACGAACATGCTCTCGATCATTTCCTCGTTGAGCTGCACTCGTAGCTCCTCGAGCACGTCGTAGTTCTGCTTGAACAGCGTGTTGATCAGTTCGAGGTACGGAGGACTCTGGTACTTGTCCCTGTGGCGGCCCTCCTCGTCCTTGAACACCCAAGGATAGAAAACCAGGGCGGTTGCCTCGCTTAGCTCGAATATCATCTGCGCCAGGAACGCCTCGTACTTTTCTCTCTGCTCAGCCTCCGCCTTCGCACGTTCGAATTCCTCGATCGCTTTTCTTATTTGCAACAGACAATTTTGCCAAAACCAGTTATCCATCAAACGTGTTTAACTTTCTTGCGCTGGAACGACGTGCCACGCGCGTCGAGAACTTTTTGTCTCAAAATTGCAAGTAGTTTCTCTCAGTTTTAAGTGTATTTAAGTATAACTCAGGCAAAAACACATAATAAATTTATTAATTCTCGATCATTTCTATCCAGCGATATCATACCGACGAGTTCAAGAAGAAAAAGAAAGCGACGAGTTATTGTATACGGTCGCTCGTTACGGTCCGCAATTAGCGCAAGTGGATCAACGCAACAAGTTGAATGCAAATAAAATTCGCCCTTTGCTTTGCGTTTCGCTATCTTAAACGAATTGCTCGAACAAGTAACAGTATGTTTGTGATGTACGAGTAGTATATTTTGTATCGTCGTTTGAATCATTTGAATGTAATTTCACTCCTCAGGCCAAAATTCTGCATATTTCTTTACATCTTTTATCCTCAATTATATTCTGTTACTTTCATCCCCTTTATCGATCACGGGCGTTGTAACTTGTGAAATTTCAAACGACGACGAAAATTTGCAAATTTTCTGGACAAAATTATTGTTCGCTCGTTCGACGGGCGATACCTGACGGCTTCCTTTTTCTGCCACTCGACCTCCTCCTCCGGTGTCCTGGCGCTCGCGTCCAACATCATTCCCGGCTCCTCGTCGTTCAACACCCTCTTGATCTCGCTCGTCAGCAACTTTCGAATCTGCGGGCAATTGGCACCGAGCAGAAGGTTCACCATTTTGCCGTTCTGAATGAACATCCAGACCGGCTCGCTTCTGTCGCGAAATCGCTCGAGATCGGCGATGTAGTTGTTCTTCACCACTGCGTAGTTGATCGCTTCGCCGAACTCCAGTTTCACGTTACGCAGGGTGCTCACCATCGCGATGCACGGGCCGCACCACTCGGAGTAAACGTCCGCGAGGATCAAACCCTTTCGGCTTAGCAACTGCCGCCACTCGTCCTCGGTCTCCACTTCCACCTGGAACTGAATTTGCTCTTTCCTTCTCGCCATTTTCCCAACGATGAACCGAGGTATTTGCTCGTATGATCGGAGATTGCAAATATTGATATTGTGCTTGGTAAATCTATCGTTTGGTACGATACTTTAGTAAATTGTATTAAACTGTGTGAGGTTAGCGTTTGGGATTAGGTTTGCAGTTAGGTTAGCCTCTAGAATTATTTGCAGCTAGTTTCAAGAACGATTCGTTGTGGTTATTGTAATATTGCATTACAAGGGCTATGTCACTCTGTAGATTGTTGATAAGTATATTTAGCACTCGTGTTAGCCTACGTAATGTATTATTTTATTTTTTATTGTGATTATATCTACGTATGTATTGTCGTCAAACACGATTTGTAGGTGCTTGAAATTCAGCCTAACCCAAACATATAAGTATTCTAACTATAGTTTGATACGTACAGTATTAAATTAAAATGATGAATTAGAACTCAAAGAAAATACAGTTTCCACGTTTCAATTTTTTTTCTTTTCTTTTCTTGAGTACTCTGCTACAGAGTACCATCCTGTAAAAAATGTTAACGTATCCAAGAATTTGACCAAGGTTACAACTTCGAGAAAAATTTTTAAATTTAGAATACAAATGTCGGCGATGTCGCAAGTGAAAGGAAACGATTCAGCGAATTCTCTGTTCTTCGAATTCGCTGAACGTTCGCCGCCATTTGATATTCCACGACTTTACGAAATCTCAAGAAATTTCGAGTATTTATAACGATTTATAATATTGCCATCAATTAATGGGTTAACCGAGCAAGCACACTCTTTCTCTCGTAAAAGACCGTAAAATTAAAATCGGAAGAAACTGGTACGGGTCTTCTCTCCTCCGTAGTCTCGTCTCTCGACCACGCGCGTCTCGAACGTCACTCGTCCCGGCGCAAATTGCCGGCGGAACAAAAACGGGAGAGAAGAGGCGTGTGAAGTCACACACGGCGATGGACAGCGTACGTAGGATCGCGAACGTACTAATTATCGCGGCTAGACCGCGAATTAGGGGCGCAAGACTAAACGAGAGGATGGTCGTTTGGCGACGATGACGACAGGCGAAGATGAGACGCGTCTCCGACGCGTTATCGTCGGCCTCGATCTCTTCTCCCCTTCTCCTCTTCGCAACCGCAGGATCCGCGAGGGTTTCACGTTGTCGAAACAACGCGTCAACTCCGTCGCCGACGATGGAAACTGCGATTAATCAAGACCTTCGTCTTTGAGCCATCGTTTCTGTTTGAGCATATAAATATGAACGTTTAAGACAATCACGAGCGTCTGCTATTGTTCGTACGATAAATCTGACCAATCGTAGAAATGCTACGAAATTGTTACGTGTGTTTTTAGTAGGCTTTAACGGGTTTTTTTAAAATTTTACACTCTTTCCTGATTTTTGAAACATTTCGATCAATTCGTTTCGAGTCGAGTACTCTAAAAATTTCTCAAAAATTCGTACGTACACTGTGATCGATTTCAATTTTTTAATCTAATTTTACATTCTAATTCCCCGATTGTTGAGATTACTTTGAAATATTCTCACGAATTTATTTTTATTAAATACAACATTGTTGTTTCGAATCAAACATTTTCTCAGAAGTGTAAGTAGTTAATTTTAATCAAATGTTCGATCAATTATCTTTCATATCTTTCGCCCGCTATTTGTCTCCACGGTTCGGGAAATATTTTCAAGAATTAATTCGTTGATAGTTCCACGTTCGTCGTGCCGATTTCGAACGGTACCGATATCCGTGCACGTAAATATTCCACAATATTTATCTCCGAACTTCACTCGTTGCAACAGCACAAGTCCAATTTCAAAATTACAAGGAAAATACGTCAATCATCGGGGCATTTATATTATTTTCCAATCAAATGACAAGCCTAATTGCAACGATCGATAAACACTCCGGTGATCTAACACTTTTAACTCGGTTTGTTACACACTTGTATTCGTCCCTCTGCACTCGTTTGAAAGGATGATTGATCGAAAGAATTGTTCGCACGTTGAAACGTTGTCACGTTTTCTTCAAATCGAACAATTCGAGTTGCAGACGAGTCGCGAGAAACGAATATGCGAGCGATAAATGTTATCTCCTCTCGGTGATCACTGTGCAGTCGTTTATGCATGATTTTCTTTAATTAAGGTTTTTTTTCCTTGCACCGTCTGCTATTAAATGCAAATGTCGGGAAACGATTTTCAAACGTGACAGTGTAATAAAATGATTCGTTGCAACAGAGAATTTCTCCCAATGGGAAGTGAAAATTATTTTATTGGAATTGAAGAATTGTAAGATTTCAGATTTTCAGGGGCAAGTTTAGTGCTTCAGTAATTTATCATTTTACCGCTTTGCTAACGATAAAAGTACTACTGTACTACAATATTATAAATGGCTAAAATACAAGATTTTATAAATTAAAATCTAGATAAATTAATCTAAATAAATTAGACTAAATCTAGATAAATTAAACTAAAATAAGTTTGAAAAGGAGAAAAGTTCTTACAAAGTACAGCAACTTTCCATTAAAAGGGCGAAATATTTTCATTATTAATAATAATCTAAAAATTGACTTTATAATAATCTATAACAGAAAGTACTAGGAATTTGCTGTATTATTATTCTATACGTTATATTGTTACTGTAGAAATGATCATGGCGTTTCGCAAAGGATTTGTTTTCCTTCTTACGAAAATAGAAAGTTCAGTGCCCGACATTTCATAACGACAACGTTTCTCAGATTTCGCTTCGATCAGACGAACTCGCTTGAACTCGTTCGAACTTAGGAAAAGTTTCCACGATGCATGCAAATTCCAAGCATTTTCGACTACTCAGCCGACGGATCGAAATCCCCTCTGTCATCTATTTTCTTTATTTCATTTTTTCTTTGTTTCCTTTTACGCAAGTAAAATATACGATTCTTTCTAACACCTTTCTCAAGTTGTATCAGACACTCCATCTCGGAGTATTGTTTCAGTTACTTTGCTTCGTAACTGGAGTTGTTTGTTAATTGGAATAGCTGATCTATGCAGCATCAATTATTCATACCATTAAATGGAAATTGACGGATGATTCATTTTGAATTACGTAGGTATACAATGTCTCCACGAACTCTATTATTATACATTTTTAGACGTAGTTATACCAAATCCGCAGCCACGAAGCAGAAAGAAAACCTGATCAATGGACAACAGTTAAATTTACGCCACGAATGTGATTCGATATTACAGAGTATAGAACAGCTTTTCACTGTCGATTAAAACAATGAATTTAAAAAACATGGAGAATGTGCAATTTTTCCCTGCTGAAAACAGTTCTAAGTAGCGTAAAAGTTTGAAAAAAGTTTCGTGGATTGACATGTACGTACTCTTTGTATGATAAATTTAAGCAAAAATTCCACGATAGAAACTTTCTAGTTTCCATTTCTACAAAGTTCGATATCCCAATACGTATTAATCAATTATAAATCTACGTTTAATCCAAAAGATCTAGTTTCACCAACTAGAACAGCTATTTAGTTAACTGGCGGCCCTTGCCCCTACTTTCCTGATCGCTAGCGCTACCCCCACCACTGCATCGATCTCCCCACTACATTGAAATTTCCTCGCCGCACGAATCCCACTCCTTCACGCGCTAACGATGAGGAAAGTAGGGGCAAGGGCCGCCAGTTAGCCGTCTTTGAACATAGAACATCTCTTTGTCTCCATTATAAATACCAACGAATCAAAATTCATCGTTTGGATGTTTTATCCTGCAAAAATACCACCACCAGACTCAAAAGCAACAAATGAAAAAATCAAGTAATCCAAACACACCTGTTTCATCTATGCAGGTCATCGGGACGCCCAAATCCCAGGGAACTGCAACTCATTCACATAAGGAAAAAGGAAAAAAAAAAAATTCATCGTTGTCGTAACAGCGATTATTTAATTTTAAAAAGGAGGAGAATGTGTCACCTCAAAGGAGGTGATCAATTGAAGAGTAGTTCATTAAAAACTCGCCGGTGTCTGTGAACGCGAGTCTGAGAAGAGATGACAACAGATTGGATCCGTTTCACTCGTCGTTGCCCTTTATGAAACGAGACGGGAAGGCAACGTCGTGGCGACGTTCCGAACCGCCCTTTCGACCGCGACACGTCCTGGCACCGACGAAAATAAACGGTCTAGGCGACATCCTAATTAGCTCGCGTGCACGTACCTCGTTAATCCCTTGAATTGAAACGGACAACTCTGCCGTTGCCTCGCTTTGTCTCAATCTCTGGCCACCAAACAAAGGTCGCTTCGCACCTTTATCCTGAGAAATATACGGTCTAATTTAAAAAAAGAGAAAAAGAGACGACGATTGGAAATTTTGGAACCCCTCGACAAACACAAAAAATTGATACGTTGCATTTCTCATTAGACGCATAATTTCAAAGTTGAAAATCAGAAAGGTGTGTAAGTTACGTGAATCGACCTGTATGCGATCGTCAGATTATAAGATTATAATTCTAGATATAGCGCGTGAAATTTATTCCAGATTTGTGACAATTTTAGGGATTTAGTTTTGGTACTTAATTCGGTACAGTAGCGGTGCATTTTTGAAATTTAATTCTGCACCCTGTCAAATATCGTCTTTTCTTTCTGAAATGTTTCACGGATGGAACAGAGATTCAATAGCGACGTAGTAATTTAATGCTTCAACCTAATTGCAAAATTTTCCACACATATTTTCACAGACTCTATCTGCTTCTAAACTTTTTCGACCCATCGCGCATGAACCACGTCGTTCAGCCGCAATTTCCACTTTGCGAATCACGATCATGGGAACAGACGGGCTGAGAAAAGGGAGGGCAGAGGCGAAGGAGGTCGGAGAGCGAGTTGGTTACGCAAGAAAATACGCTTTCACGAAGCGGCGATAAGCGTTACTTTAAGCGGCGTGTGTCCTGAGCACGCGGTTTCTCGGCCGATCTTAATGACCGATGCAAATACGCGTCGTTAGGCCTCGTTGGGCTCGTTTCGCTACTATTTGTCTTTA